TCCACGCCCTCCATCCCTATAACACCTCATCCACGCCTCCTAACACAGCACGCGCGCGGGGCTAACACGGCAATGCTCGCCTCCTCCTGTGCTCAAAGCGGCGTTGAGAGTGAGAAATGGACGCCAATTACATATACAGACACGAGAGTCAGTACCAATTAGTTATTACTGTCAATTACTTTATTATCAAGTGCCATAAAGAAGGATAATCGGAGTGAGTTGTATATCCCCCCCTCTCTCTCTCTCTCTCCTTCCCTCTTCCCCCTAATTCTCCTCCTCCTCTGGTTATATCATTGCAGCTATCTCTTTTATTCTATCTTCTTCTCACGTGTACCTTACCTAACCTTATTTCTCTCTACCTCTCTCTACTCTTCACGAGGACATTACACCCACCACCTCAACCATAGTCTTCCTTATCTTTATTGACTAACACCTAACCACAAGCACCGACCTCCCCCTCCTCCTCTTCACCCTCCTCACCCTCTTCCTCCTTAACGATAGTAAGTCAACTCTTTCAAGACTATAGCTATAATCTTCCTCTCACTTATCTATATATATATATATTCTCTACCTATAGCATCGGTGACTCTAAAACAATACACTTTATTTATAAACCATTTGCATCGTATGAGGAGTGAACGTTTTGCCGTTACACCTGTTCTAGTTGTGTTCTACCTGATATTAGTAACTTTTATATTTTTTTTTATGGCTATTATAGAATCTAACTATTTTCTAATTGTGTTTTATTGTTGTTGATTCTTCGCGAGATATTGGAATGGGATAAGACATGAATGTGTAGTGTTATTATTTTTTGAGGTGAGGAGATTTGGAGGTGTGTGTGTGTGTGGTAGAGAGAGTGGGAGGTAGAGGTAGGGAGAGAGGGAGGTAGGAGGTCTCACTGTTAAAGTATTCGATCAATTCATGACCAACTTCTTCAGTGACTCAATGTGACGTTTACGAGGTGAGAGAGAGGTGATCCAGCTAGCCACACACACACACACACACACACTGTACCTCCCCTCCCTCCCTCCCTACCTACCTACCTACCTACCTCCTATCCCTTCCCTACCTCTCTCTCTCACTATCCCTCCCCCCTTGCATACCTCACCTGCTCTCTCTCACTCTACATCTCTCTTTTAATCTCCTTCTATGTCTCTCTCTATCTGTCTCTTTCCGTTTCTTTTTACTTCCTTCCTCACGCTTTTCACTCATTCCATCACTCAATCTCTTATTCATTTCCTCTATATCTTTTATTCACTTTGTTTGTCTATCTATATTCATCATTACCTCCTTCTGTTCTACTTTATTTATTTTTTCTTATTTCCTACGTTTCTTGGTTTATCTTCCAATGATAACTACAATGCCTGCCGCACAATGTCTTCCGGTGTGCAGCAAATTACTTAGTTCTTCTCTCTCTCTCTCTCTTCTCTCTACATCTTTTCATTAGTTCTATCTATTTACTTATCTCTCCTCCTTTAGCCTCACTACTACCTACATCTGTTATACTTCCTCCTTATCTAAATACTTTTATTATTGTTTTTGTTTTGTTGCATTATTTACCTTTACAACTTTCCCATTATCTTCACTATTTTACTATTTCTGTGTTATTGTTTTTCCTTCATTTCATTTCCGCAAGTCTTTCATTATCCTTCTCTCCTCCGTTTCTCTTTGTGGTTCCTCATGTATAGAAAGACAAGTAAATCGGAATAGTTAATAATAAGTGTTTTTGATATTTTGAAATATTACTAATTATCTCTGTATTTTAATTTTAGGTTTATGACTCGTTTTATTAATTATGATATCTCAATATATGGCGTCAGATTGATGTATTTCAATCTTGTTATATTTTTTAAAGTTTTCGTTGTTTAGGTAATTTTGTATTCTTATAAAATTCCAATGAGAAGACAATTTTTTGATTGGTAATTTTTGGGGTAAAACCGATCACCGAAATGTGGAGTGATTTTTATAAGGAGTTTAAACTCTTGTTATTAGGCGATATTAATATTTCGATGGAGGGTATTGATATAAATAATAAATTACCTTATAATAATTGACAGATAATTACTAACAACAAATTCCCATAAACAGTTTCATTTCACTTTAATATCCCAAGTAAAATATTATATGATAAATTTAATATTCTGAAGATCAAGGTATTATAAATCTTCGACGAGTTTCTTTATCTCGAGGAAATTTCGTTGAACCCCAAAATCTTCCTAAATAAAAATCGCGGGAGCAAGAGTTCAGCGTTTGACATCTGGCGGTCCTCAACCCTGCCCGCTGATGCCTGTCTCACGCGCTGGGTCTCAAATCTCCGTAAAACTACCAAAATCTCACCTTCCTGACAGCTAATTAACTATATTTTGTTACCAGTATACTCAAATAACCCTACTATAGATAATATGTATAAAGTATTAAATTCCAGTGAGGATAATAACTGAAAACAGAAGAAAATCGGCGCTGTGAGTGGTGTCAGCGGGGTTCCCACCTCGTCTAATCCTGAATCACTCTACGGGATTAACACTCAAGTTTTAGGTGGCTGTCATGGTGGTCAAGTTTCTGAGCTTCCATCAATCACTCGTTTATCAAGGTAGCAGACACTGCCTTTGTCATAACGCGACTTCACTGAATTAGTATCATAATGCACTTTGTTATCTTCTTCACTTTGCTGCCGTGTTATGATTGGCATTGATAGATAGATTGAAGATGATTGAGGTTCTCAGAGTAGAACGGCCTGTTTAGCACACCTGAGCCTCGTCCTCGTCACATATCGCGGTGACGATGATGTTGTTGTGATGGTTTAGCGTTAGACCGGTGTTCTGCGGGGTCGTCTCGTGACCTGGTCTTGGGCAGGTGACCCCCTCAAACACGTCTTGTTGCTCGCCGCTACATTGCATGATCCATGACTTGGCAGACTTCATTTTACGATGGATTCTTAGTGACGACAAGTCAGATGATGTCAACGACGCCTCCCATAACATCCCCCGGCGACTTCACCCAAGTCTCTCAGCTACGGAGGAGTTGGCACTGTGAGTCTGGCGCCAGTCATCAGCTGATCTTGGCGCTGTTTCCGGGTGGACGATTTTGGCGACCACGTCCTCGTCTTCTTGTGCTCGTGAGGTTGGCAATCACACTTGGAGGTTGTAGTAAGTGTTGAGTTACTATCTTGTCTTACACTTGTAATCATCCCTGGAGTGTCGCCGCTTGTTGACATATCGCGACGGGGAGTTATCTGTCCTCCTTGGTGCCGCTGCTGCATGACGCTGGTGCCAGAGTCGTGATGACGAAGGCTGGGAGGTTTCCACGACTCTTCACGGAGTGTCTGATGACCTGGGATAATGCAGAAGAGCTGAAGAGGTTGGGTCCCTGGCACAGAGGCAGGCAGCGGGGCCGCCTCCCTGGCCGCCCGGTGTCGGCCTCTATGTAAACAAGCCCAGCTCACATCGCTTGCCGCAGCCTCACTCACTACCACCATATCAACTCGCACTATTCACATTTTTCCGTGGGGGAACGTGGCCTGACACCGCTCTGCGCTCCGGCTTACCTGTCATCGTAGGCGAACTCAGCATCTAGCGTGTTGAAATACAGAAGGAAAGCCGCGACACAACTTGTAATCAGAACGGGCTCCATAGGGGCTCCATGACCAACGTGCGCGAGCCACCACCGCCTCTCACTGAATGGTCCGCGCGGCTTGCTGGCCCAGTGGCTGGCTGGCTGGCTGGCTGCCTTTGCCACACCACCCGCCCCAGGCCCACCTCTCTCTCCTTCTCTCTCTCCTGCTACCCTCCCTGCCTCTCTCTGTACCTATCCCCGAGCGGGCAGCGGCCAGCGACGCGACGCACACACACGCTCCCCCCGACACTGCTGTCAATCAGTTCGACGCCGACCCAACAACCCTCGCAGTGCAGCGCATGAGGAAATAAACATCTTGTCTTGACCCTTGAGTAATTTGGCCAAGAGTATCCCCTAAGGATGACTCAGGGCTATATCATCCCTCACAATGACACACAAAACAGTGCCATTATTATGCCCTAGAGGTCGTAATGTCCACACCACGGAGGGACCTCAGGTGGCTGTCGTGTGTCGTTTACTGCGGCACCCTTCACGCCGACACCATCCTTGTCTGCCCGACCACCGCAATGAGGACCTCCACCAAGCCTCTGTTGTTACAAGTGTCGTGCAGGATGGTCACTATAGTGCTAGAAGAATTATTTTTGTCAACTCTGAACGATGACAGTGTCAACGGGAAAGCGCTGACAAACTTGATGAAGTCTCAACAACGCGCTGAGAAGATAATCAATTGTCAGTTCTTATAATTCTAACAGCGGAAATACCAGTATTATTATCACACATTGATGATCATTAAATGCCATAATATAAGTAAATAGCGAGGGTAAAGGACTGAGAATAACCTGCCAAATAATGTGAAAGTCGTCTGATTCGTTTTGTTGAACTTTCAAGACAAACTGATTCTACGATGGATAACTTATAATATACAAGAAAAAATAATCTATAAACGTTTCTACTTATCTTCGTGTTGTTCTACCTTGATATTAATATACACGTGTGGTTTCAATTACCTGATGTTGATGGGTTGAACAAAGACATTATTCCTACCTGAGACTAACACCGCTCTCTCTAATGACTTTAATAACAGGTGAATCACAGGTAAATGGAATCACATTACCTGGAGATTTCAATACAGGCGAAAGTAACTATCCTACCTTGTTAAGTCTTTCATAGCTTAATATTTGATATATTTCCTATTTATTCTCAATACAAAATAATTCATATAGGTTTTGCCACTGTTGTTTTTAATAAATTTATGTGAATGAGGAATTAATGCGGACGGAATGATAGGATGAGACAGATCGCGTAAAGAGATGATTAGAGTAATATCAGAGCCAAGAACGTATCGGAAGAGTGCGTTAAGTGTGTCTTGAGAGTGCGTCAGGAGAGTGCATCGAGGGAGTGCATTAGAAGAGTGTGTTAAGTGTGTCATGAGAGTGTCAGAAGAGTGCATGTTTCGAGGGTGTACATCAGGAGAATGCATCAAATTAGGGTGTCAACGGAGTGCATCAGAAAAATGTGATAGGTGAGTGCATCAAGGTGAGTGCATCAAGGTGAGTGCATCAAGCTGAGTGCATCAAGGTGAGTGCATCAAGGTGAGTGCATCAAGGTGAGTGCATCAAGAGAATGCGTCAGGAAAATACGTCAGGAAAAATGCATCAGGTGAAAATGTCAGGTGGATGCGTCAAATAAGTGCGTCAGAAAAATACGTTAAGGCCTTGGAGGAGATAAAGACGTCTCTCTCTCTCTCTCTCTCTCTCTCTCTCTCTCTCTTTACAGTATTTATCTAGCTTCTCTCTGTCTCCTTATTTTATATTATTCTTATATATATAAAAATTAATGCGTCTTCCTTAACCTCTTGTAGGTGGTGGTCGAATATACTAGACAGACATATAGACAAACAGACAGACAGACAGACAGACACAGACAGACAGACAGACAAATGGATGGATGGATAGAGAGAGAGAAAAAAATTAGAGAGAAAGAAAGATAATCTGCAGTGTATAATACCAAACTTAAAAATGAAAGAAAAAAATCACTTCTTGTCTCTTAAGAATCCCAACCCATCCAGATGAAACTTAAATTGGATAAAAACAAAAAAACACACAAACAAACAAATAAATAATCAAATAAATCAACAAATAAATAAATAAACAACTAAATAAACAAATAAACAAATAAATAAACAAATAATAAATAAATAAATAATAAACAAATAAATAAATAAATAAACGAATAAATAATAAATAAATAAATAAATAAATAAACAAATACAAAATAAATAAATAAATAAATAAATAAAATTAAATTCAATACATTCAGTATCTAGATCCTACATATAAACTCCTATAGCTGTATACTATATCATGTAATGTTATAGACATATTTATATAAAATTAACATGATATTACAAGAAAGTTCAGGATATAACATCGTCAGGATATCAGAGGCGACATGTTGTATGGAAAGACACCAGACAGCTTGAGGCTTACAGAGGTGTGAGGAGAAGGTGTATTATGGGAGGGAAGTGAGGCAAGACTAGTGAGGATACGAGTGAGGAGAATGAGAGAGAGAGAGAGAGAGAGAGAGAGAGAGAGAGAGAGAGAGCTGTCCACATGTAGGTAGGAACTACGTTAAAGGGATCGGTAAATGAGATGTTGTTACGAGCCAATTAAGGGAACCGGGTGAAGAGGGTCAGGTGCATGGGCCTGGTGAGTGGGGTCAGGTGAGGAGGGTCAGGTGAGTGGGTGCCAGGTGAGGGGACAGGTAAGGGGGCAAGTGAGGATGCTCAGGTGAGAGGGGCCAAGTGAGGTGCTCATTAAGACATCTGAAGTAAAGGAGCCAACAACAGGTAACACACACACACACACACACACACAATACTCGTCGATACAGACACACATACAAATACAAAAAAAAACAATCATACCGGAATAAATACACACACACATACATAAACACACACACACACACACATAAATATGACCCGGGAATATTGTGTTTTAAATGACCATAAACATAAACCAACAACATTGTTTTAACTTTGACGTATATAAAAGGATATCTGAGAACCTTAGCTCTTTGATAAAGTTTTGTTGCTATGTAGACACGGCCATATTGTGGATTAAAAATATATTGTCTTAGTGGTGTGTGTGTGTGTGTGTGTGTGTGTGTGTGTGTGTGTGTGTGTGTGTGTGCTGTGTGCTGTGTGAATTAGCTGTATGGCGTATGATAATAATAATAATAATAATAATAATAATAATAATAATACGAAGAACCACTGCAACAACAACAACAATAATAATAACTACAACAACAACAATAACAACAATAACAACAGCAACAAAAACAAAATAAGAAGAATTAAGAAAGAAGAAGAAGAAGAAGAAGAAGAAGAAGAAGAAGAAGAAGAAGAAGAAGAAGAAGAAGAAGAAGAAGAAGAAGAAGAGGAAAGAAGAAGAAGAAGAAGAAGAAGAAGAAGAAAGAAAGAAGAAGAAGAAGAAGAAGAAGAAGAAGAATAGGAAGTAGAAAACAAAACTACTGGGTTAATATCGTGTATGACTGATGGGAGACTCACGTGTACAAAGACCTGACAAAACTCCTGTTATATTGTGGCCAAGACTCATGAGAAACCCTTCCTGTTAACCTAACCTAACCTAACCTAACCCTTAATCAGTCAAAATAAATCATAATGTTGTTTTTAATTCTTCCTATTTATAAATGTTAAATATCAACATATCACTACATCATTCAATTAATCTTAACAACAATATTTAACATCTGTATAAGGTGTAAAATTAACAAAAATTAATTAGAATGTGATAATTTACCTGTTATTTTTATTGGGAATTAATTAAAGAGGGAAATAGGATATAGGGATTTTTTTTTAAATTTTCTCATTAATTGATGAAATAAATTTGTTATAAAATATTTTTTTTTCCTTGCGTCTGAATGTTGATGATTCTTGGTATTATTATTATTATTATTATTATTATTATTATTATTATTATTATTATTATTATTCGGGTATTAATGATTCCTCCGATAATATTCTCCCACTAATATTCCTCCCCAATAAAATTCCTCCTCAGCAATATTCCTCCCCAATAAAATTCCTCTCCAATAAAATTCCTCCCCAACAAAATTCCTCCCCAATAAAATTCCTCCCCAACAAAATTCCTCCCCAATAAAATTCCTCCCCAATAATATTCCTCCCCAATAAAATTCCTCCCCAACAAAATTCCTCCCCAATAAAATTCCTCCCCAATAATATTCCTCCCCAATAAAATTCCTCCCCAATAATATTCCTGCCCCAATAATATTCCTCCCCGTGTAATATATAAACAAAACAATACTCTGCCAACCACCTTACACATTTAGCTACACATTTTAACACCAGAGTCTCCGTGTCCCGGTAACAGATGAACCACATTATCGTCAAGTAGGAGAGACTAACACTCGAAATGCTTTAATCTTTATTCAAGTGTGACAGGTAGAGGAGTCCCTGTGTGTGTGTGTGTGTGTGTGTATGTGTGTGCGTGTGAAGTATTATCATTCAGTTTATTATAATACTTGTGCGGTTTGGAGTCTTAAATTGGATGGTTGGGTGAAGGGGAGTCATATTTTAGGTAAAATAGTATTCCTGTGATCATGCTCTTAGTTGTCTTAATCCATCCTGATACAGAAGTAAGTGACATTTAAAGTCTATTAAATATTTACAACTACGTAGATTGAGTTATGACTTTTTTTTTGTATTATTAAATATATTCAGCTACAGAACATATCTAAGTGAAATGTCTTCGGGATTTTGGTTATAAATTCTATAATTTCAACGTTAATGTCATTTATATTATATATTTAAAGAAACTGATCATGTTACTTCCACTGAGTTTGGCTTCATTCATATTTGCATAATCACCAGTTGTGTCCAGTCCTTCCATCATACAACAGATAAGATACAATGAAGTTCAGGAATTATTATTTTTTTTACGAAATTGCCAGAAATGTGACCAAACAAGACACTTTTAAAATACACCAACAATACCAAATAAGATAAATTAATAAAAAAATAATAATTTGGTATGCGTTAACAATTGTTTTAAATTAGAAATACAAGTAATTAAAATAAGGTAATAAACGAAGGTACACCAAGGAAGTGAAAGATATAGTGTTATTGTATAAATTTTCTGACAATAAACAAAGGACCATACGTGTACGCCTGTGGAACGCCGCGGTGCACACATATTAATATACCTTATTCCTCAAGTCATTTTTCTTGTTCGCTTGTAAATGTAATACTGTTTTCTGACATAATTACGACATTGAGTGAAATGTGAGAAGAATTGAACATCTGTGAATTTTAATTATTGAAGATAAATCAAGAGATATTTGGAGATATTTAGAGATGTTTAGAGATATTTAAAGATGTTTAGAGATATTTAGAGATGTTTAGAAATGTTTAGAGATATTTAGAGATGTTTAGAAATGTTTAGAGATATTTAGAGATGTCTAGAAATGTTTAGAGATATTTAGAGATGTTTAGAAATGTTTAGAGATATTTAGAGATGTCTAGAAATGTTTAGAGATGTTTAGAGCTGTTTAAAGATGTTTATATATAATTAGAGATATTTAGAGAAGTTTAAAAATGTTTAGAGACATTTAGAGATATATAGAGATGCTTAGAGCTATTTAGAGACATTAGAGATAGTTAGATGTCTAGTGTTGGTATGTGGGTAATGTGTGTACTATATAATCATGGCATAATGTGTCGATCTTCGTAATGTAAATTTGAATGGATAAACTTTTAAGTTGGTGTCAAGTTCAAGAAGCCACACGATGATATATACTGGGTAATATATTCTTATAAACTAGCTTATATATTCTCTTATAAACTGCATCAATGTACGAGGTAATATATCCACTTCACTTGAGTGTATTTTCAACAATATACATATCAGATATACTTTTATGGTAAGTATATCTAGTCGCTGGGTATATCTTACTAGTGTATTATTATGTATGTATGAATAAATGTATAAATAAATGTATAAATGTATAAATAAATAATGCATATAACGCCTCAACCTATATTACCTATGGTCATTAATTAAAACTAGACACAATATCAAACACAATGAAGTTCTTCCATCAGTCAATTAATGATTTTACCTTAAAGATGAAGTAGAGGAGGAGGTGTGTGTGTGTGTGTGTGTGTGTGTGTGTGTGTGTGTGTTACGTAGTGTCAGGTAAGGAAAGTTATCTCACCGTTCCCTACCTTTACTCACAACACTGCCTCACTCACCTCAATCAATCAATGTTACTAATTAAACGCATCACCATTTGTAAGCTCTTATCGCCACCATTAAGAGAGAGACTTTCTGAGTGACTGAATTTACCCCTCCCCTCCCCTCCCCTCCCCCTTCCCCCCTCCCCCCTCCCCTTAGCGAATGTGTTTGTTTCTAAATAAAAAAAAAAACATTCAAATTTAACCAATATATAAAAATTATATCTATTAATATTTCTTTT